ATGCATATTTTTAGGGGCGTTTAATTGCACGCAAGTCTGGATAGCGATTATTGTGGTTTGCTGGTCCCACAGTTTCTGTAATGCTCGTGTTTGAATACCTGAGTGCTGATGCGAAGTGCGTTCATCCAGCCAATGTGTTGTTTTCTTTTCATAGTATGCTGGTCTTTGTTGATTCTAGTCTTTTCAGTCGTTTTTAAGTTGTGGCGAGAGGGAAGGTGTTGCACTTTTTACATGTGCTTGCAAGAATGCGCCTACTAAAATGCTAGGCTTACCACTGGAGGGCATTTGAACTGTTCCAGCCGAATTAGGGTTGACAGTCGTAGTTCTTTAGTAGTTATTTAATGGGGCTGCAAAACTTTTATGAGAAAACTTGAAGCCTAGTCTTTTGTGTTACAAGTATGAATAAATATATTGAAAAACTTAACGTGCAATCCAGCAGTGGCTTGGTGCTTTTCACCGCACCTCATTTTAGCCTCACACGCATTGATAAAATCAAAGATGTGAATTATCGGTCAGTGAAGTCGTCAAATGTGAAGGCTTGCTTAGTAGATAGCGCCTGGTAGGACTTCCTTCACTTTGGCTGAGTCAACTGGAAGTTGCTGTCGTTACTGAAAAAAGAGACTGAATACTTGCATGCCAATCTCGATGAGTGGATGAAGAGGCTGGTGTCCTGCGAAGAGAAAAACTGGCTTTGGTGCTCTCCTCGTTTTTCGATTGAAGAGGGTAAGGCGAACGTCTTCGTACAGTACAGTCGTTGGAGTGCCCAAATGGTCTACACTCTTTGATTAAGAATTTCATTGTCCAATGTGACGAAATACGGTTCATTTAGCGTTCCGTTCAGAGGATCGGAGATAGTGACTCATCTGGTAGTAGTTACAGTGAGTGCTTATCACCATCGCCACATACTTTATGTTCTAATTTTTGCAAATGTGCTCGATGTCGATTATTTACAACTAGTTCTTTATTGGTTTGTTATAATTGAACAATTTAAAGTGTCTGGGGCCCAGTAGTTGAGCCTAAAGCAATAAAATGGACGTAGAAGCTTCCATTTGTTAAGTAAATGCACGTATTTTTTAAAACAAGTTGATTATCTAGTTTGATAGTCCGAGTATCAATGAGAATGAAACAGTAAAGCATATGGGCTGTGGTGAATGTGGCGCCACGTTCTGTAACTGCATAATCCCTGCTGTGGCGTGCCATAAGAATA